CCAAGACCCTGTCTACGTCCTCGGGAGCCACAGAGTCAAACTCCTCCCATACAACCATCTCAAGACCTGCTTCTGTCTCCTCCCCCTGGGCCAGCCAGTCGGAGTCTAAGCCTTCCCGGATCCGTGCGACTTTGTCATGCAGATATTGAGCGAAATCCTCGGCCCTCCCCTCCAGGGGATCCCCCCCCCTCAATTGAAGTATGTGTAAATAGGTATATTGAGTAAATAAATTTAATGAATAAAAAATCTCTTACCTCAAACAGGAGTTTCTCTGCGTAGTACAGGAATGTCTCCATTATGAATGAAATGTGCGAAACTAAGCTAAGCTAAACTAATCCTAACTAATCTATTTCAACAAATATATGAAGTATGATAAAGAAACAAACAAATAAATAGTATGTGTCAATAGATATATTGAGTAAATAAATGAATAAATAAAGATCTCTTACCTCAAACAGGAGTTTCCCTGCGTAGTACAGGAATGTCTCCATTAGACCTATCAACCAAAAGAAATGACTCTAAATTGTTTTGCTTAGATGTATAAATGTTTTCCCTATTTAATGGAAATTTAATGGAAATTTGTTTCCATCTGAATGGAATTTGATTAAATTGGAATTTGACTAACTTTATATGAAAAGCAATACTAGAGTTTAAAAAAAAACTATTTCAGTAACTCAGAATATCTTATTAAACTTGTTTATTTTTTTTGTAAAGTTAAAAAGTTGAGAAAAATTTTGGGATTATAAATAGCTATGCTGTTTTGATTAAAGATTTGTATGCAAAACTGTTAGAAAAAGAGCTTGTGTTAACAAATGCAAACAGAGTTTGGTGAGCTCTCCTTTGTTGGCTCTTCGCTAGGTAATTTATTTATAAACAAGGACAAAGGTTGGAGGAGGTTTTGACCCAGAAGTGGGGGGGAAAGAGGCAGCCAGTGGCATTTTTGTCTAAAATTGACATTTGGGGACGTCTTGGTGGTTAGCATTTCTTATCAAGTGTGGGCAATTTTAATCAGGAAGCCTAAAGGAGGTATACACTTGTTCATAGCAAAGTAGTTGAAAAAAAAAGAACAAGAAAAAGAGAGACATAATGAAGATATGATAGTAGATGGGGAGGAA